TTACCACACAACGCTCATTTAATCAATAAAAAGGTAGGTATTAACTTCCTTATCTATGCAATTTCTACTTCTCTCAGTCTACAAAGATCCTACTTCCTATCATCCAGACAGTTTGGTAAGTAAGAACCAGAGTGAATTTGGAATGTCAGACTACTTGGCAGAATTAAAGACACTGAAAATGCAACTTTCCCTATCCACAGTCAAATAGATAGAAATGTTTGTGAACTTATCAAACCACTAAATTTAGAATCACCTACAAATTATTCAAAGTAGTGCAAGATGAGTTATAATAGTATACTAACTAGCTAAAAGCACTAAAGTGAGACATTACTCAAAATGAAATGCTTTTTCAAGAAGGATTGGTACATTAATTATCTAAACATAGTCTCACTCCCTTACTCCTTTCAGGTCTTCAAATGTTACTTTCCCAGTAAGGGCTTTCCTGACAACTATTCAAAAGCAGAGTCGCCCCTAAAGAACAGGCATATGCCCACACACTCTTCTATATAACCTCCCCATATTTATTTTCCTTAGGAGCATTTACCACTGACCTATAATACAATGCAGTCATTAATTTGTTTCCTCCAATTACAATATAATTTCCATGAAAGTACACATTTTTGCCTGTTTTGTTCACCATTTAACAAACAGATCTAGGCCTGATACATAAAAGGCACTTAGTTTTGCATAAACGAATGAAACTAAAAGGATATAGTAAGATCCTTAATAGCAGCCTTCTTAAAACAGGATATGTATATCCTGTAGTGGAGTAACATAAGATAAGCACTGCACTTTGTATTATTATTTTTATATGAAAACAAATATGTTATGGAATATTATGGATAAAGTAATTAAAGAACACTTAAAAGAAATTTTGGCTTTGTGGGAGCCTGGGTGGCTCAGTTGGTTGAGCGTCCAACTTCAGCTCAGGTCATGATCTCACAGTTCATGGGTTCGAGCCCCATGTCAGGCTCTGTGCTGACCGTTTGCTCAGAGCCTGGAGCCTGCTTTGGATTCTGTGTCTCCTTCTGTCTCTGCCCCTCCCCCACTCACGCTTTGTCTCACTGTTTCTCAAACATAAATAAATGTAAAAACAAAATGTAAAAAAAAAAAAGAAATTTTGGCTTTGTGATAGAATAGAATTATACATTGATTAGTCATATAAGGAAAGCGGCATAGGTGTTTAAAATTGGGTATATGTTTCCTCACCTCTCATTTTAGGAATTAATTTTGTAGGAATGTATGGAAAGTAATATGCAGGAACTAAAACATCACCACCAATTTTTAATACACCTGAAAGGAAACGTTTCCCTATTTTGCATTCTACTGTCAGGCAATTTTCTTTAGAGCTAACCTGAATCAAGTAATCGGAGATTAAAGTTTTCAGTTTATTTCCTGCAAATATGGAATTGAACTAAGCTAGGGAGAAAAGAGCTAGTGAGTAATCATAAACATAAACAAGTCTCCATTTGTAAGCACATGGGTGGAGCTACAGTCAGAGAAAGAAAATACCATGATTTCACTCATATGTGGAATTTATGAAAACAAAACAAATGGCAAAGGAAAAAGAGAGACTGAAAGACAAATCGAGAAACAGATTTTTTATCCAAAAAAATTTTTAATTTTTATTATTTCTGAGAGAGAGACAGAGAGAGAGAGGGTGCAAGTGGGAGGGGGTGGGGCAGAGAGAGGAAGACACAGAATCCAAAGCAGGCTCCAGGCTCTGAGCTGTCAGCACAGAGCCTGACATGGGGCTCAAATCCACCAACCAGGAGATCATGACCTGAGCTGAAGGCTGACTAAGCCACCCAGTAGCCCCAAGAAAAGATTCTTAATTATAGAAAACAAACTGATGGTTACCAGAGGGGAAGGAGATGGGAGCCTGGGTGATACAGGTGATAGGGATTAAAAAGTGCACTTGTGATGAGCACCTGGTGATGTACTGGAAGTGTGGAATCACTACAGTGTACATATGAAACTAATGAAACACTGTAAGTTTTTTTTGTTTTTTTTGTTTTTTTTTAAAAAGGAAACATGGCTTGAACTCAAAGTTCCTTAAAGTACCAGTTGGTTTCTGAGATGAAATGAGGACATCCTCAATCAAGCGCACGTTTTTAAAATCAAAATTAGCATTTGTTACACAAAAGATTTTTTTATTTAGTTCTTTCTTTCCCCAGGACAGATCTTAAACATGTCTGATTTCTAGTTTCAATTCCAAATTGATGAAGAGTTCTTTAATACTCTACTATCTACTAGTGCCCTTGTTCACAATGATTAGTAAAGACCAATATACAGATTTAACTACTATGGTTAAGTGTGCCAGGGATCTTACTAATTTGGTAAGAGAGCTTTTCAAAGCATCCCAAATTGACCAGATGAAATTTCACTTATACCCATTTTATCATGTGGTTGTAAGTAGTTCTAAAGGGAATTACCTCAAAGATTTAGAATTAAAATGCTCATCTCGGGGCGCCTGGGTGGCGCAGTCGGTTAAGCGTCCGACTTCAGCCAGGTCACGATCTCGCGGTCCGTGAGTTCGAGCCCCGCGTCGGGCTCTGGGCTGGTGGCTCGGAGCCTGGAGCCTGTTTCCGATTCTGTGTCTCCTTCTCTCTCTGCCCCTCCCCCGTTCATGCTCTGTCTCTCTCTGTCCCAAAAATGAATAAAAACGTTGAAAAAAAATTAAAAATAAAATAAAAAAATAAAATGCTCATCTAACATAACAAACATTTCTGCTTCATGGGACTTCAAAATATGCAGACTTTGGATTATCGCTCACATATAACCGGACAGAAAGTCAGAAGCTAAGGGTTGCAGTCCCAGTTCAACTGGCACTAATTTACTATAAGCATGTGTAGGAGCTAGCGTAGGGAAAGAAAACTACCTATAGTCTTGTTCAGAACAGCTGCCCTTCGCTTTTTGTTTCCTGAAGATATCACTAAGATATCCTCTAAAAGTTTTTCTTTTTTTTTTATTTTATTTTTATTTTTATTTTTTTTATTTATTTTTTTTTATTTAAAAAAATTTTTTTTTAACGTTTATTTATTTTGGGGACAGAGAGAGACAGAGCATGAACGGGGGAGGGGCAGAGAGAGAGGGAGACACAGAATCGGAAACAGGCTCCAGGCTCTGAGCCATCAGCCCAGAGCCTGACGCGGGGCTCGAACCCATGGACCACAAGATCGTGACCTGGCTGAAGTCGGACGCTTAACCGACTGCGCCACCCAGGCGCCCCTAAAAGTTTTTCTTTATCAAAGAAAGAAAGAAAGAAAGAAAGAAAGAAAGAAAGAAAGAAAAGAAAAGAAAAGAAAAAGGAAATAAAATAGAAATACTGGAAGTCTCGGGTTAAAGCAGACCACCAATGGATTTCTCTCTAAGCCTGGGCATGTCAGAACTGCACACTGTGGTTATAAGTACACATGTAAAATAATGCTTGCTCTAAACTTAGTTAAGAACAAAATAACAATTTTGGGATTAAAGTAAGTACTTCTCATACTAAATTACCAAAATTAATCTCTACTTTCACAATGGAACACCATGGGTAAAATGTCTTCACACAGAGAAATCTGCTTTCTAGGCAGCATGTTGGTAACATGGGTCTTCTAACACTTTCATTTAGGCTTGAAGCAGTTAACTGGTGTGCCATAATTCAAATTCTTTGTAACTGAAACAAGATGACAAGGAAGCTAAGGCCTTCAAAGTTCGTCAGTGTAGGCTAGGGCCTACAGAGAGAAGTCAAGGGATACATAAAGGTCAGTTACATGGTGGGCATGCTGTAACAGGAAATGGTCCATAAATAGAGTTCCCTTTATCCCACACACTTAACCTTCATGTGTCACAGCTTTTGAGGAGGCATCACATCATGATATATAAGAACAAGGCTCCTTTTTCCCTCTCTCATCACGCGTACTCTGCAAAGTGGCCTTATAGTCTGTCAAATAAGTCTGCTTTCCTATTCAAGCCCATCATGAAATTGGAATGAGAACTCATATCCTCACTCCAGAATAGCTATGCTTCATACAAACCCTGTCAGCTTTTGTCTTCTCAGGACACAGAAAATATAGTATAACCACAAGCACCCCCTTTATTCTACATATATATTTTTAATGTTTATTTATTTTGATCTTTTATGTTTATTTACTTTGGGAGAGAGAGTGCATGCAAGTGGGGGAGGGGCAGAGAGAAAGGGAGAGAAAGAATCCCTAGCAGGCTCCATGCTATCAGCACAGAGCCAGATGTGGGGCTCGATCTCACAACTGTGAGATCATGACCTAAGCTAAAATCAGGAGTTGGACACTCAATCAACAGAGCCACTCAGATGGTCCTCTACATATATATTTTAAATAATCCAGTAAATAAAGTTCCAAAGCATCACCCAACCTTCTGTCCAACTACAGTAGTCATGGAATCTTGCCTAGAGCAGCAGTCTGACACTGGACCACCGCAGGTACCAGTAGTCTACATGGCCAGTCCTTTATCTTACACTTTCTGGCCCAGCCTTCTTCACTGTCAGGAACCATTCCATATAAAACCCTGCAGTCTAGGCATTTTTCCTCTCCACTCTCCATTGTTTTGTCCCTAGAACAGAAAACTCCTAGATAGTGTTCTCAGCTTGAACAATATTATCAAACAGCAAAGAATAGTGCTATGGCAGGGGCGCCTGGGTGGCGCAGTCGGTTAAGCGTCCGACTTCAGCCAGGTCACGATCTCGCGGTCCGTGAGTTCGAGCCCCGCATCAGGCTCTGGGCTAATGGCTCAGAGCCTGGAGCCTGTTTCGGATTCTGTGTCTCCCTCTCTCTCTGCCCCTCCCCCGTTCATGCTCTGTCTCTCTCTGTCCCAAAAATAAATAAACGTTGAAAAAAAAAATTAAAAAAAAAAAAAAAAAGAATAGTGCTATGGTATCAGGTTTAAATCTTAGTTTCATGATTGACTAACTTTTTGTTACTTTGAGCAAATTACTTAACCTCTTCCTCACAGTCTCATTTTCTAAACATTAAAGAAAGCTACTGTGTAGTTCAGTGTTGGTGGGAAGATTAGAGAACTTCAGAACTCTAGTATTTCTTAGCTAACTATGTTTCTCTCCCTTCTATTTCAAAGGAAGAAACTGAGAGCATCATATAAGAATGGGAAGGATGGATGGTGACCAGTATATAACCTGATATTTTAAAAAAATGTATATGCATGATAAAATTTATAGAACAGAGACTCTAAAGTATAACACTTTAGTCCTCTAACACTTTCATTTAGGCTTGAAGCAGTTAACTGGTTAAAGTATAACACTGTAGATTTCATTGTCAGAAGGAACAGTTCCAGAAATTATACAAAAAGGATGAATACACACACACATACACACTAACTTTAGTCAGTCTGAAATCAGAAAAAAAAAAACAAAAAACAAAAAACACTGATCAACTTTAAGCATGCAGAACACCAAGTAATTGAATCTTAAAAAAAAAAAAAAAATTTTCTGTACATATGCAACACATCACACGTAAAATCTCAGATATTCACTGCTCTAGGTAAAAGCCTTCACCACCAGTGTTTTAAAAAGCTGCAGCTGGACTAGGGGTCAGATGGCACTCAGTAGTTTTGTATGTGTTGGGGGAAGGGTGTGTCAGGAATGAATGTGGTTATCAAGGCATTTCCAAGTAGGGAACCCTTGGAACAACATTAGAGTAAGGGTCATGGGAAAAGAACTTTTGCTCACCCTACTTCCTGGCAGCATTTTCAGTACACAAGCCATAAGCAATTCATATTTACAAGTGAACAAGAAAAGACGGGCTTATTAGATGACGGGGGGCAGGAAGATATATATACACAGATTATGTATTACTTACACTTCTAAAACTTTTATTTAAAAACTCTAAAAATTATTTAAAAGACTTAGCATATTTCAAAATATTTAATCCACACTGGTTTAATAAATAAATTGAGTTAGGTTTGAATATTCTTATTAAAGTCAATCACACAAATGAAATTCAAGAAAATAATCATGATGTATCTACTTTATCTTTCTCAGAAAAAAAATGCAATTTAAGTTACCTTTCAAAGTCATAGAAAAAATATTTCTCAGGATTTCAAATTTTCAAATCTAGAGTTCTTCACAAAACAAGATAGTTTAAGAACTTGGTGAATATATCCTGAACTTGTAAAATCGAAGAGCACTATAGGTACCAAAGGTCAATAGTTCCTCATTTTTTCAATCATTTTGTTAAAATTCACATACTAGAGTCGCCTGGGCAGGTCAGTTGGTTAAGCATCCAACTTCAGCTCAGGTCATGAGCTCACAGTTTGTGAGTTCAAGTCCCACATCAGGCTCTGTGCTGACAGCTCAGAGTTTGGAGCCTGTTTCAGATTCTGTGTCTTCCTCTCTCTCTGCCCCTCCCCTGCTCACACTCTGTGTCTCTCTATCTCTCTAAAAAGTGAATAAAACATTAAAAATTAAATAAATAAAATTCAGACTTGACATAACCAGTTAACAAATCTCAAATTATACAACTAATACAAGCTACCTTTTTTCTTTTTTATACACAATATAGTTTTATTGAGTTATTGTAGTTTCGATGAGTTAAGCATATGTCTCCTCCCATATGCTTCCCTGCTTCCTTTTTTAATATACTGATATATATTTTTTTCAGTTTTTATTTAAATTCCAGTTAGGTCTCATATAGTGTAACATTAGTTTCAAGTGAACAATCTAGTGATTCATTACCTACACACAACACCTAGTGATCATCACAACAAGGGCCCTCTTTAACAACTACCACGCATTTAAGCCATCTCCCAGCTCACCTCCCCTCCAGCAACCTAGGTTTGGTCTCCATAGTTAAGAGTCTGTTTTCTGGTGTGCCTCTCTCTCTCTCTCTCTCTCTCTCTCTTTGTTTTCTTTTCTTTTCTTGTTTTTTTTACAATCCAACTTTTTAAAAATGGACACTAAGATAATTCAACCTAACAGGAAAAAAAAAAAAGCCATTCCAAATCTATACATTACTATTCTGTTTCTTTCTCTTAATCCTGGTATTCTGGAAAATTATAAGCACTTTTCAAAAAGATCTCAAACAAGGCTTGGTTTAACAAACAGCTTAAGTTCTGAAGTACATGATTTCTTTATAACTATGGATTTATCAATGAGAGTGGCCTCCTGACTGCCTGTATGTTTGAGTGTTATTAAGCAGTCTGACAAAATATGGAGAACTGACCTTGCCATGGAATGCAACAGGCAGTTTCCCCCCTGCTGCTTCTTAAAGAAAAAGAAAACAAAATATTCAGACTTGAAATGTAATAACAGATTTCCACATATTCACTTTATTTATAACATTCCTACTCTTCACCTATCTTTAGGGGTTAGTAATTAGTAGTAGCAGTAATTCTATAACACTTTATCACTTTATGTAGGGGAATAGACTATTTATGAGCTTCACACACATTATTCTCATTGATAAAACTCATTACCTCCAGGCACCTGGGTGGCTCAGTCAGTAAGTGTCTGACTCTTGGTTTTGGCTCAGGTCATGATCTCACGGTTTGTGAGTTTGAGCCCCATGTCAGGAGGCTCTATGCTGATAGCTCAGAGCCTGCTTGGGATTCTCTTTCTCTCCCTCTCTCTCCCCACCCTCTCTCTCTCTTCCCCTCCCCCAAGTGCTGGCACTTGTGCACTCTCTCTCTCTCAAAAATAAATAAATAAGCACTTAAATAAATAAATAACCTCCTTACATAAAAACAGGTAAGACACCAAAAAGCAATGTTCTGATTAAACTTCAAAATGAGAAAAAAATACATATATATATATATTAGAATTACTGAATTACTTTTAAGTCTCCAAGCAAATGTCAAATACTTTACATGGGTACTCTTTTAAACCTAAAACAAAAATGGCACTTAGCTGTTAGATTCAGACTTAAGCACTTACCTCAGTAATCATAGTACTGTGGGGTTTTAGATGGACCAATCACTGAAATATAAGCATCTAACCTCTCCTTTTTGTTTCAATAAATTTCAGCTCTTTCCACATCTGAATGCCAAATCTATATTAAAGAAATGCCTCTTTCCCACCCACCTCCAGTTATTAATAGTCAAGATGGAGAAAATGTATGTAAATAATTCCCTCAAGCATTATAATTATAACCAAATTAATATTTAACATCAATAGGTTATAGGCTACCTCATTATTTCTACAACTGTTTATTTAATTACTTACAAATAATTTCTTATACCGAATATTCTCCTAAATCCCCATCAAGATATCCAAGAACATTTCATGTTGAACCTGCTTGGGATTCTCTCTTTCCCTGTCTCTTTCTCTACCTCTCCCCTGCTCATGCACTTTCTCTCAAAATGAATAGACATTTTTAAAAAATAAAATAAAATGTAATATAAGAATTCCAGATTCCAGTGCCCAGCATGGTGCTTGAGTATGGGCTCTTTTACGTACCCACCCAGTGCTAAAAATTGTACCAATTAGTGTGCCTATAAGCAGTGTTAGTATCATTAAGTACCGTTTAGTCCCAGTAAGAATAAAGATCGATTTTTTTATATAAGTTTCACAGATAATAGAGTTAATTCATTCAACAAATATTTAAGCATCTACTCAGGGCCAGTCACCTGGCCTGATATAGAACTTGTTCCTGAGAGTAAATGTTGAGAAAGACCAATGGGCCCAGATCTAAGCCCTGTGGCCAAGGCCACGTATGGATACTGTCAATGTACTGAATGATAGGACACCAACAGAAAAACAAAGAAGCACAAGCTTGGGTTAGATTAAAATGATACACACACCTCATATAGTAGTAGTTTTAATGACAACAACAACATGTAACAATCCCTGGCTAAACTCTGTACCATCTCATATCCTCACACCAACCCTACAAAAGCCTCCACAACAATAGTCTTCATTTCATAGAGGGAAAAAAGACCCTAAGAGAGGTTAAAGAGCTTGCTTCATCTGAATGCATTTGGGGGCAGAAGGAGGAGACATTCTTAAAAATGTTAATAGCCATATGACTATTCAACTAGATTAACAATAACTCTAATATCAAAAGCTAGTCCACATTCAAGTTTCCCCAATTACCTTTAAATTTTGTTTTCTATAAATTCTGCATTCACTTATGTCTCTTAGATCTCTTAAGTCCCTTTTAATAAAGAATGGTTCCCTGGTATTTTTTTCCTTCTTTACACAAGCCACTGACTCACTGACTAAACTAGCTCAGTTGTTTTGTAGTATGTTCAAATTTCTGGATTTGGCTGAGTGTTTCTTCAAAGTGTTGCTGAACTTGCTTCTCCATCCCTGGGGTTTCCTGGAGTCATAAAGTTATGGGTAAAGGCTTGATCAAAGGGAGGGGGTAAAACCCAGAATGTTTGCCCTGTCCCTTCTTCCTTTCCTCACAGACAGAACTGTTATTTTTACATATGCCAAATTGATGCAATATTTTTTATTGGAAAGTGACTAATTGCTTAGCTTATTATAACAATAAAACATCAAGATCCTTTCAGAGAAATTATATTGTCCAGGTCTAAGTGTTTAAAAATCACTCTACTCCCCACAAATGGTGCTACCAGGGGATGTATTTGTTTTTTATAGAAACTGAGTGAGAGAAAGAAAGAGTTTTCAGGGGGCGCCTGAGTGGCTCAGTCGGTTAAGCGGCCGATTTCAGCTCAGGTCACGATCTCGCTGTCCATGAGTTCGAGCCCCGCGTCGGGCTCTGGGCTGATGGCTCAGAGCCTGGAGCCTGCTTCTGATTCTGTGTCTCCCTCTCTCTCTGACCCTCCCCCGTTCATGCTCTGTCTCTCTCTCTGTCTCAAAAATAAATAAACGTTAAAAAAAAATTAAAAAAAAAAAGAAAAATAAATCACACACACAGACACACACACACACACACACACACACAGATAACTTCCCAGGCTGCAACCCCGTCTCTACAATCTAGTTCCAGTTTATCACATTTGGTAAGAGGTAACTCCATGATTTATCTACCAGACATTATTTGTGTGCCCAGAGCCCCATGATTTCTC